AGGACAAATGATAGTCGTCAAGATGGCAAGTTGGCCACCATTCTATCTGATATCCAGTTTCTGCATATCTGTACCACATATTTGCAGAGTTTGAGCATATATCAAGTGTGTAGAGATAAACTAATAATATTTTTAGGTCGTCTTTTTTAAACTGTTGTATGAATGCTATCAAGCAATAAGGATTTATGAATAGTTGCTTAGCCGACGTGGTCTCAGAACGTCTTCACTGTACAAGTGAAATTAAACGACATTTGGCCTAAATGAAACAATCATCTTACTTTGGTTAGTTCGACCAATGAATTATCTCAGCACACGCTGCTACTCGAAGTAGAAGAGATATTACTCATTCGAGCTAATCTTGTCCTAGTAACTAAATGCAATTTCACTCCTAAACTTTAAGGCTTTCAGTGTAATTTTTTTTATATAATGAATGTCACTTTTTGTGTGGAGATTGAGTTTCACTTTCAGTTAGCTTTGGTATGCATAAACAAATCATTGGCTAGTCAAGGGGCGACCAGCCTGCAGACCTTCAATGGGGTCTAGCTTCAAAATTAAGCTGTTGGCTACAAAAATATGTATATTATTCGCACACTTTTAGCTGCTATTTTGAGGAACAAGGCGGCTAACTTTCCAGGGCTCTATTGGCAAATTGAAAAGTCTACAAAACATCTCTAAAATGCCATAAAATTGTGAAGGGACTATTAGAACTTCCCTTTTGTGAGAGGATCCGCACAGATAACTGCTCTTCCAGATCCGGCTTGACCCCAAGCAGCGGAGGTGCGTTTGTGTACACAAAAATGTACACATTTATGTGCTTTCCAGTCATTGGGATACGGTGGGCACACACCGAATTCCCAGTTTTGGACGGTACAACAAGTAAAGTATGCAAACTTTTAGTGGCACTTTGCATCTGTCAACTATGATCACTGCTTTTGGCCTACAATACATTACTTTATGCTGTCCCCGATTGTGTCTTTAGCATTTTGGCATTCTCGCTTTCCCATCATTTCACATGATCGCGCATACACATACGAACATACGAACATACAAACACAAATTCAGCCCCACATGTTGACGCCATCCGGGAAGACGCTAATTTAATGTCCTGTCAACACATCAACTGGCCATGATTTGTTCTGTCTTCTAGCGTCCCTCACCTCATCGCAACGAAGCCTCTCATATGTCACTTCCCGGTTGTCTCTGGAGCTCTTCTCGAAAGGTGGCTGCATGTTTTTTCCCATTTGACCACGCAATCGCCAAACAATCACAAGTCAGAGCCTGCTTTCGTTTGCTACGAGTCAGCCTTTTGACAAGTTTATTCCCCAAAACTGCCAACGCTAAAGGCCGCTGACGCTGCCCATGCCCTCGGGGGAGGGAGCCATAATTCACGGGAGCCCTTATCGACCAGTCCTTCTGTACCTTCACCCTCGCCGAAAGTGGGTTGGAGCGAGGCTGTATCAACTGTGTCCTGCGGTTCCCGCTCCTCCCGTCCCGCCTCCAACCACCAGCCGGCCGATGCGACGAGGGAGGACGAAACACTCTTGCCGATTGCTCGCTGCTTCTCAGACTTGTCGGCGCCAGTCGCCTGAGGGGCCGAGAGGTCCCCACGTGGCGGGTCTGGCAATGCCGTTTCGACGAGTTGTCAGCTAACCTGCACGTCATCACTCCACTCGACCGGTTGTCATGTGTCCGGTTGGCGTGTGCGTCCGAGTCATATGCTCAGGAGGACGCCTCCCGTCAGCTTCAACGCTGCATCAAGACGAGCCGAAGCATTGTCCGTAAAGGCGGCAGGAATGAGAGTTAAGCCAGTCGTCATGCTTGCACAACTAACTTGTGGATAAAAATGTCCGTTTTGCTAGATTCCGAGGTTGAAATGAAAAATGGTACGTCGAGTAGTAATGTCTAATATGAGATAGAGCTGATAGTTGCGTTTCTCGTGGTATGATCTCTTAAAAGTTGTTCCCCTCCAGCCGGAAAAGCAGTTTATTCCCTAAAAATTTGGTATCACTGACGAGATCATTAATCCATTTTGCTCAAGATAATATAGAATTTTCCCACAATATTATAAGTAAGCCCCACAATGCAAAGGTATTTTACGTAAACTTGCTTATCCAAAGATATTTTCATGACGGTTGAATTGAGCTGCAGTTTCGCACCCCTAACAGGACTCGGACCTGGGTCATGGTAGTGCATGTTTTCACTTAACCACGCTGCCACGAATGCAAATCAATGACAGGGCAGAAGAAGCTTTCAAAGCATTCTTGTGCCTATTCCATACCAAAGATTTTTAAATGGTGGAATTGTCGCTGATGAAAAACATATATTCGCCATTATATTCGACGACGTTACTTGTAGTACAATTGAGTAGTGTGGAAATTACAGACCAGTCCAGAGTGGATGCAAATTATTTTTGTGAAGCAAGACTAGGGGAACTTTAATTGAATAATGAGGCCTACTTATCCATTATTAGTCTTTCATCATCTCCATTCAGCGACCTAGACTGACAAAAAATATTATTCAAATTCTACTGAGTCTCACAATCCTACTTAATTTGTATAAAGGTCGTGTGAGTCAAGTGGTAACATCTCTATGTGAAATAGTTATTGTAGGAAAAATGGGTGTCGAAAAACCCCTCAATAGATTTATGTTGGAGTACCTTTAATTTCGTTTGAAGAGACGAGTGGACGGGATTCGCAAGTTGATTCCATCGGAGGCTGGGGGGGCGATAGAAATCGGCAAAACAGCCAACACCTTGAATATAAATAATGAGTGTAGGAAGTTAAGCGGAAATTACTTGTGGCTGTTGGATAGGTTTAGAGAAAAAAGCGAGAGAGGGTGGAACGAGAAGTACCACCGAGCAAGAGATGAAGACTTGATTAGACTGGAATCTCGATTTTGAATCTCACATCAATCTTATTTCGAGAGCAATACACTCACGCATCACGTGTGCAATGGACGCAATCACATGCGGCAACATTGCAGGATCAAAGGCCTAAGTGCTTTAGGGGAAGATGCAGCTGCTCGGTTTCAATTGCATCCATTTCACACTTCATCTGCACCCACTTCACATGTCATCCGCAACCACTTAACTTAACCTTTGAGCAATAATGGAGGCAAAGCATAGGACATCCAACCAAAACATGAGATGCACAAGTGTACCAACTTGGAATATAAGAAGGAGGCATATTGTCCTGCTCTGACGATGTCCGTCACGTGACGCACGAAAGCCGAGGACCTATTCGCAGAAATCTACTACCACAGCTCCAAGGCAACCTGCCCCCCCATCCTCGGCTAAAATCAACTTACGAATTCTTTCCACTCGCCTCTTCCAACATTAAATAGTTATTGTTTAAATGAATTAGGTCGTTTTAGATTGATTGAGAAATGTTAGTTAATGACTTGCTGAAATCATAGAAATACGCCTGTCAATGCCAATGAAGTTCACGGAGTCTTTTCTCTCGAAAGATCTTGTCATTCTGGCTGTACTGCAATTGCTACCGTGCCTAGATCTCTTCAGCATCCATAACGAGATTGAAGACTTGTTACTAGGTAGTGTGACAACCTGCTTCCAATTAATCAGATAGCCACATATGCCCGTGGGTCAGAGAGCACAGGTGACTTACAATACAGCAAGCATGTGTAAGTAATATAAGATGTATTCACCCCATGTCGTTTAAGCTGATGGACGAGTTATAATGTGTTCGATTTTATCACCATGATTACATATACCTTATAGGCAGTAATGATATGTGAAATTTAATTTAATCATAAGGCCTACTAATATGATTGAGTGAAGATTCAGCACATAATAAGACTTTAGGTGAATAGACATTTTATTCAAGAGATTACTTATCCTGTACTTTTAAAGGCAAGTTTTCAAAACCACCAGAAGATCATATATTTGAGTTGTATTCATTCTATTTCGTGAAAAGAGTACTGGTAGCCGAATTTTCCCTCAATACTATAACTAGACCTTACGTTTCCACTGAATTTCACATAGCCTCGCTTTCCCACAAGGTATTCTTATCCAGGCTGGACCGCAGTTTCTAACTCGCCCATACTCTTCTCATCAGCGTCATCAACGGGACTCGAACTTTGTTTCATCTCCAATCGCACCACAGAATGGGATATGGAAAATGCCTTGCATTCCTTAAAAGTTACATCTGCCCTGCGACCCAAGGACATTTAGGACAGTTGGCGTAGGGTTCAACATGGCAAGATTATATGCTACACAAACTGGGGTCGAGTCCGATTGGACCACGAGTTCCGGAGAGTTAGAATCGTTGGTCCAACCTGAATAAAAATACCTTATGGGTAAGATAGGCTATGTGAAATTGAATTAAAAAATAAGCTATACTCATATCATTGTGGGAAAATTGAAATACCAGTCCACTCATCGCCTTAAATTACCGATACCCTGTGAGCATGTGTATGGAAACTCTCTGTAGTACATGAATAAGCGTTTTGAAGCATTCTGACCCGAGAATGAGCAACTCTGTAGAGTGCAATGGCAACTAATTGTTTGCAAAGCCAACTTATCCATTTAATATGTGAATTACAGGTGATCTGGCTTGCCTGACGGTC